GTTGTCCATGTAACTATGTAGGTTGCCTCATCTAAACAATGATCAATATATTGCTAAACAGCCCTTTACTAAACAAGTCATTCTTTGTATATTATAATTACCCAAGGTATGTAAAGCTTATGTGTATTCTACCAAGGTCGACAGAAACCCTATGGTAATACAGTAAATCCCAATTTTTGATACCCCAACTGATATTCTACCTCAGAATTTGGTCAAGGAAAATAGTGCAACCATTGAGAGGTATTAGAAGCATATGAGGGATGAATAAAAAGTGAATTAGAAGGACCAGATGGCAAGTAACACAGCAAGGCTCACGGAGCATGTGTGAATTTTTAAAGAGCATATAATTCCTGACACAATACATGCTAGAAGTGCAGGTAGACAAATGTTTCTGAGATTTCTTCTACAATTATCTTTCTAATTTGTCCTTAAACTCTAGAATGTAACCACGTATTCAAACTGTCTAAATTGTTTTGGCGGTTTGTGCCAGCTAGAGGAATGAGTGTGCATGTAGGAAAATCTCATTTGTTCTATAAATCTACTCTAGAATTTAGAGTAGGATTAAGGCCAATGTCATACAAATAAACTGAGTATCAGCTTTATAAACTGTAAAGCTTAGAAGCAGTGTACAAAACTTCCATTGTTGGGAGAATCTAAAACATAAATTCAATAATGAAAAGACACAATGTCTAGCAAAACAAGCACTGCTTGGCTCATGAACCAAATTGAAAAGTTATGATATTTTATGTTTCACAATTCTCCCTAAAGGCTATCTTCTCTGTTACTTCAAATAACAACCATCTTTTTTAAGTGGCTGGATCTTTGCTACAGGACCACTACTTAACAAGATGTATACTGAAAGTGTCTCTGAAAAAGAAAAGAAAGAAAAACACTAAGTATAAAATCTATCTTGGCATTTAAAATAAATGTTGCCCCTTTTTCCCAATAAGTAGAAACCATCAGTGCCACTTCTGGAATATAGGAGGAAAGGGAGACAGTATCTGAATGTAAAGAAAATATTTTTACCTGTTTAAATCTTCTGTGATCTGTGCAGTGTATAAAAGGCAATTCAGGGAGATTCTGAATAAGCCTATACATAGATCCCATCTCTGGTTTCTGTTAACATTACAGACATCTTGAGTTTTGCTCTTGTGGTTACCACAAAAATCACCAAAGAAACCTTCAATATATTGCCTTACTATAGTGTGAGTGCGTGCGTGCGTGTGTGTGTGTGTATATATATATATATATATGTGTGTGTGTGTGTGTGTGTGTGTGTGTAGGCTGTGATTGGTTGAAATGGTTCATTAATCAAGTATAATTTTAGTTGATTAATAGGCTGAGGTAGCTTAATCTACAAGGGCAATTTTTTTTTATCCATGCAGAATATGAAGGCCAAATACATATTTTGAATCCTACTATTCTAGGTGTAAAGGAATGAAACAGAAAAAAAGGATTAAAGACAGCCTGTTCTGATATGGTTGCTTTTTTTCTTAAATATACTATCACTTCTTTCTTGAAAAAGAAAAATCAAAGGGGAAAATGAATTACTTGGGTAACATGCACTTTTATTTAAATCATTTGTGCACAAAGGGCCTTTACAGACTGTCAGAAATAATGCAGCTTGAGACCACTTTAACTGTCCTGGCTCAGTGCTAAGGAATCATGGGAACTGTAGTTTATTGTGGCACTGGAGCTCTCTGACAGAGAAGGCTCAATGTCTCAGAAAAAAACTACAGTTCCCTTGATTCCCTAGCATTGAACCAGGACAGTTAAAGTGGCCTCAAGCTGCATTATTTCTGGCAGTCTGTAAAGGCCCTTACTCAGCGAAAAGGTAGATTCAACCCAAAAGTTCACTTTTGAGTTTGTAAAATAGGGGGATATTTTAAAATATTAAAAGCACATTGAGGGGAGGGCTGTGACTGATTTAAAAGATACATTGCTACCCCTGGAGGTTTTCAAAAGAGAAAATTTGCCCCAGAAAGGTGGCAGGCCAGAGATGTTTGGAGGTCTGAGAGCTAAAAATCAGCCCTGGTGGCACAGTGGTTAAATGCCTGTACTGCAGCCACTCACTCATAGACCACAAGGTTGTGAGTTCAATACCAGCCAGGGCTGAGGCTTGACTCAGGCCTGCATCCTTCCGAGGTCGCTAAAATGAGTACCCAGATTGTTGGGGGGCAATCAGCTCACAGTTGTAAACCGCTTAGACATCCCATAGTGCAATATGAAGCGGTATATAAATGAAGCTGCTTTTTGCTTTTTAAAAATTACTGTACTTCTGAATTTACCATTTTAATAAACAGCAATAATTCTTGATACATGCCTCTAGCAGAACAATTACAACTGTGCTGAGACCCATTGGGGTCCTCCAGATGTCACAGTATTGCTGTAATCATTTTGCATCTGGCTACAGGGACACAAAAAAGAAAGTGCAAAAGCAGGCTTAATGCTGAACACAAAGAAAACAAAAATAATGACCACAGAGAAACTACATAAATTCAACCCAGACAATGAGGAAATCTAAATAGTTAAAGACTTCCCATACCTTGGATTGAACATTGATCAGAGTGGAGACTGCAGTCAAGAAATCAGAAGAAGACTAGGAATGGGAAGGGCAACTGTGTTAGAACTAGACAAGATCCTAAAGAATTATGTGGCTCTGCAGACGGCGCAAAGCACCGTCTTGGAGCCAGGGAAGGGGAGGGGCAGCCGAACACCAGACGCCCCAACCCCTTCCCAAGGACATCATCAGAGCACCCACCATTACACATGGTGAGCATTCCGATGATGTCCTCCCGGCCCAGCCTCTGCACAGACTGAGCCAGAAGAGACACGCGAAGGCTCTTCCAGCACCCTTTCTGGGGCTTGAGGAAGGAGTGCTATTTTAGCACTCCTTTCCCAGGCTCCAAAAAGGTGGATTGGGGCCGAGGTGTGGGGTAGCCACCTTCTGCAAAGCCCCAAAGAGAGACAACTGAACGTTAAAGTTAGAATCATCCAAGCCATTGTATTCCCCATCACCATGTACTGATGTTAGAGTTAAACAGTGAAGAAAGTGGATAGAAACAAAATCAACTCATTTGAGATGTGGTGCTGGAGAAGAGTGCTGAGGATACATACTATGGACAGCTAAAAAGACAAACAAATGGGTTCTTGAATAAATCAAGCCTGAACTCTCCATGGAAGCCAAGATGATCAAACTGAGGCTCTTGTACATTGGTCATGAAAAGGCATAAGTCACTAGAAAAGATAATAATGCTAGGGAACACAGTAGAAAGAAAGGAAGACTACACGCTAGATCGATAGACTCTAAAATGCATCTCATACTATCAGGATGCCATCCACTTCTAATTTTATGCTGGCTCAGGTAAGCCGGTTTACAGGGCTTGGGCACTGTGACAAAAAGAATACCAACCTCCAACACCCCCAAAAAGAACATATGCATTTGAGAAACTTACAAATGTTCTGCCACTAATAGAATGCCAGACCATACATTATTTCAGATTTCCCCCCCCCCCCTCCTTCCTTCCTTCTTTCTTTCATATACTTGATCCACAAGGCTAGAAACATTGAAAAACCAAGCAGAAAATTCAAAACTAGATAGGGAAGAACTATACTGTGTATCCCTAAATGCTAGTGCTCCATATGAAATACAGGACAGGGTTCCTGTGCCTTTAAGGGCACATCTAGAATGATTTAAATGGCCAGAAAGTCCTAGTTTTTCGGTCTGCTCTTTCTAATTTTATTTTGAAGATCCATACAAATATCAAAATATCAAATAACAGGAACAACATTTGGGACTTTTCAATCAGTCTGGATGTGCCCTGAAAGTTGTACTGAAGGGGGAATTATAGCTGAAATGTATAATGTATGTAACTATTAACAGAAGCCCTGTTGTGGCTTTCACCTGGCAAATTTGCTAAAATCCATCCACCTCCCTCTTTACTTTTAAAGGAATTTTGAAGGAGCAGAACTATGAAAGGTCTTCCCCTGGCACCTTTTTCTATGGGTATACCCTCATGGGAATAAAGTGTTTTCTTACAAAAAGGGAATTAAGCACCTGTTCTATGGCCTACTAGGCACATTAGAGGTCAGAAGAAACATGTAAGAATATTACCTATAATGCACTATTTTAGGAGTTAACAACAGTACTAATGTAAACAAGATTACCCATATGCATACTTTTGAAAAATAATGACTTGCAGTTGTTTATTTCTTGGTGTAACAAGCAACGTTTAATCCTTAACCCTTAAATGTTGCTTTTGTGGGTCAAAAGAGAGACGGGGCATTTTTGTATTTTTATTTTTTTTAAAAAAATCAATATAAAGTAACTAAAAAGTAATTTGTGAGTAATAACTGATACAATACTTTACTCTGCTAAATAATGAGCCACTAAAAACAGGAAGTGCAAAATAATAAATAATAACAACAAAAGCAACTATTAAAAAGTAAGGTTCCAATCTTGCATTACCTTAGGTAAAGAGACATTGCAAAGATGCTTGTCACCAATTGCTGTCTTTTTCAGCCACAGGCCCTGACCCAGAAAAGTGTGAGGTGGCCCTATATAAGACTGCCTTAGATTTGTTTGAGAGGAGCAACTCCCATGAAATCACATCACAGGGCTCTAATGCGATTTCAGATCTCACAAGAACTCCCAAAACCATGCAAATTCCATGAGAACAGGCCAGCCATTACAAGATGAAGATTTTACTCTGCTGCTCATCATCAACATTGACAGACAATGAGGATGAGGAGTGCCATGCCAGCTGCAGTCCCTGCAAACAGACCCTTGGCCTTTGGGATGTAAGGTCAGATTGCTACATACTGATTGCTTGGAGAGACCAGTCTGCTAAAAGCTGGTGCTCACTCTCAAATATGGGATTTGGGGTGTCCCATATCACCCTGATAGGGATGAGACTTTAGGATACCCAATACAGGCCTTCCCATGGAAAGCAGGACACCTGTGAACCTTATGCTATATATAGTTGTAAGTAATTATATAAGCCAGCATGGTGTGGTGGTCTGAGCATTGGACTAGAATTCTAGGAGACCAGGGTTCAAATCCCTGTTTGGCCATTGAAATGCACTGGGTGATTCACACTCCCTCAGCCTCAAAGGATAGCAATGGCAAACAGCCTCTGAACAAATCTTGCCAAGAATATTATAGGTTCCGCTTACAGTAGTCCTATGTCAGAAACAACTGGAAGGAACACAACAATAACAACAACTATGTCAAAGACATTATTAGGCAAAACTGTATTTAAGTTACACTCTTGTTCAGATTTTCCCCAGGCTAGTTCCCTCAATATATGCAGAACTACAACTTTCATAATTCTAAGTCATATAACTACTCTTTTGACTGCCATCAGAACCAACCCAAGTGTATTATAACTGACATCCTAATCATCCTCACTGATTGTGTGCCTTTCTCAGTCAAGGGTTATGCTACGGAAGTATTTCTAGAGGGAAACATTATAAATGGTACAACCCAACAAAGACTACAGAGTCATGGTCTACAAAACAGAATTAATGGCTCTAAGAAGGACTGGGAACCTCCTTGATTATTTGTCAACTTCATGCAGAACAAAAACATATTTTAGTCAAATGCCATGTGGTGCATAATGTATACCATATGGAATATTTAATTTGAGCATGTAACTCTGATTATTGCTAATGGAAGTTCCCCCCACATGTGCTATGGTCATAAAGGACTCCAGTGAGAAATTAAGATGAGAGGTTTAACAAAGATCATGTGTATGTTTGTATATTTCTTTGCACCTTTAGATTACAAAACAGAATCAGGCACTCTCAAGGTTTCCCATTGTTTGAAATAGATGAAACAGGTTCTCTCACAAATATGTTGTCTACCTGATGATGCAAAGCTAGTGGTTCTCTTTTGTTCAGAATTCTAATAGAATGTCACTCTCTTGCTATATTCTTTTTCACTTGCTTTCATGACTCTGTTCAGCCATTTGGAAAGGGAGTGAGATGTAAGGGAAACTGCCCAACTCCTGACCCCATGAAGCTACTCATCCAGTTCTATTGTCTTTTAGATAAGGTGAAACACCTTTTTGAAATAACAGAGTGTAGGGTGGCAAACCATGAGAGTGCACACTTCACTGGGAAGACCACCACCATACTGCTTTTCACAGATAGAAATGGCCAGGTGGGTTCTCCAATGTGGATCATTGGCAAGCACTGGAGAACCATACCAGTTGCTTTGATATGTGGCAATGATGCATCAGAGAAATGACCAGTGCACAGCTGTCCAGAGCCTACCAAGCCCCAAATGTCTTGTTTTTAGAGGTCCACTCCATCCACAATGCTTCACTCAGATTCAGACCATATGATTTTTGATGAAATGGAGATGGAAGGAAATATGGTTAAAGCAAGGGCAGGGGAGCAGGAGGAAGTAATAACTGTTTCCCTTCTTGACATGTTGGGGCACCTTACACTCATCCTTGGATACAAATTAAGGCATTTTTAAAATACAGTTGCTCCTTAGTTTTTGCAGGCTTCATGTCTGCATCCCTCGCCCATTCTCAGGCATGAAACGGAGGGGGATAGAATGAGGGGGCACCCGTAGACGCACCCCTCCATTCAAGCCTATGGGGTTTGAATATTTGCAGTTTTTCGTTTTTGCGGGGGGGGGGATCCCCCATGAAAATGGAGGGGCAACTGTAATAACTGTGTATCCAAACAGACACCCATTCCTGGCTTTTGGACACAGTGGAGAGAAATGAACACATACAATTTAATCTGTGGACTTCATGATTCCCATTCCTGTTTTAATGATTTCTTGAAGTTACTGTAAACCAAAAATAATCCCCAAACATATATCTTTTTCTATTCTGCTCTTTCAGGATGAATGAGGGAATGATATTTTAAAACAAAACCACATGCTACAGAATGATTTTTTCCATTAAAAGGGTTTTCAGCTTTTAAAAATGAGAGTGTTGGCAGGAGTTGAGGCCCAAAGCCCACACAGGACTCCCAAGATTGTGTGAAGTCTGTGGGCCTTGCAGTTGTGACCATTGCTCTTAGCATGGCATCCCAGAAATCTGCTAAACATTGGTGCAGTTGAAGAATTCAAAGGCAACTCAATACCATCAGAAACTCAACACTCAGCTCAAATGGCACTTTGGTCAACTTAAAATGGACCTATACCAGCTTCTGGTGTATTCTGCTGGACCTCTGTGTTGGACCTGAGCTCAACCTGATAGACAGAAGTCCTAAATATACAAAGTATAATGTGTGTAGGTCTGTTTATGTGGGCACCTAATGAGTAGACACTGGAATGGTTGAGATCAAGGGGGGTTGACTCATAACCCCCTCTGTACACTCAGTTTACTAGTTTCCCCCAAGCTGGAGTTCTCCAGATGCTTTGGATGACAATCCCATTATACAAAACCAGCATGGCCAATGGCTCAACTGATGGGAACTGTATGCCAAAACATTTGGAAGGGCAAGGCTGGAGAATTCTATTCAGAGATGCCACAAAATTAACTGACATTTTCATGATTCACACATCAGCAATCAATCATGGGCAATTAATCAAGTCCATACAGTTAATCAATCATAGGCAATTATGGGCCTTTGCAGACTGCCAGAAATAATGCAGATTGAGGTCACTTTAACTGTCCTGGCTCAGTGCTAAGGAATCACAGGAACTGTATTTTTTTCTGGGACATTGAGCCTTCTCTGTCAGAGAGCTCTGGTGCCACAATAAACTACAGTTCCCGTGATTCCTTAGCACTGAGCCAAGACAGTTAAAGTGACCTCAATCTGCATTATTTCTGGCAGTCTGCAAATGTCACTCTTTTTCAGCTGGAATCTCCCAGTCTAACATGTTTTACTTGGAAGCACACTTCATTTATTTTCTACTTCCAGAAATGTAACTGTCCCAGATAATACATATTAGTTTTACCTCAGCAAAATAATGGCAGATTGAAGCTCTGTTTCAGCATTAGGGTAGCTAGCTTTCCCTTAATTTTATGGTGTGTGAGAGGAACCTAAATCTCCCAGAAGTATCTGACAAATTGTGCAAACAGGAAAATGGTGAATCTGCCAGAAAGAAAGTTAGCGCCTGCCATTGTACTAGGAAGCCAACTTTGTGATACTGGAAAGAGTTGAAAGAACTTCCCTCAAACTCTTTTTTCAGTGTTCACATAGCATTCCAACAGCTAATTATTTATCTTTGTAAACACTTCAGCTGCTCTGATTACAATGCTTTCTGACATTTGTGAATGGCAAAAAATACCCCAAAAAACCCTCCAAAATGTGGTTCAGGAGAAATAAAATTATACAATTAATGGTTGTGTGCAGAATGGAATAGAAAGAAAACAGATGGTTGGCTCTAATTACTGTTTTTATAGAATTCTTATTCAAGCAGGGGACAGATTGCCATAAAAGAACCCTCAAACTACTGCCATATCATGCTACACAAGGTTAGATTTCTTTTAATCATTAACAAATGCACTGAATCCAAAGATAAAAACTAGAATAGTTTGACCAAAAAAAAATGCAAGACAGTTACTAGCTTGTTGGCAATTCACAAGGGTGTTCAGTCATCCAGAAATTATATGTAAAATGCCTCATATGTATTCTAATTATAATCATACCTAGAAACTAGGAAGCAATCATTCCTGTCCCAAGATCTCTCAAGGAAGGAAGAAGATCTCATACAGATAAGGAATTTTACCACCATGCTGAGGCTCCCCTTTTCCTTCAGGTGTGATTCTCTGCTTCAGATGAACATGGGTGAAAAATCTTCTAGCACTGATATCATGTCTGTACTGACTGTATATTCTTCATGCCTCTTCAGGTGTGATGAAAATATATTGAATAAACACACAAGGAGGGGGAAGCTTTCTGTCTCTGCTTCATGTGGTACTGGTTCTGTCACCCACCAAAAATGAAGAGCAACTTACCAAAGTGGACACATTCCTCTGCCAGTGGAATTCACAATCAAAACACTCCTGACAGATGGCCATCCAGCCTCTATTTAAAAGCCTCCAAAGAAGGAGATACCAACACACTCCAAGAGAGTGTACCCCACTGTTGGGCATCCCTTACTGTCAAGAAGGTCTTCCTCATGTTGAGTTGGAATCTCTTTTCCTGTAGTTTGAATCCATTGCTCTGGGTCCTGTTCTCTGGAGCAGGATTCTCAATATGACACCTCTTCAAATATTTAAACATGGATATCATATCACCTCTTAACCTTCTCTTCTCCAGGCTAAACATACCCAGCTCCCTAAGTCTCTCCTCATAGGGCATAGTTTCCAGATGCTTCACCATTTTGGTCACCCTCCTCTGGACACTTTCCAGCTTCTCATCCTTTTTGAATTGTGGTGCCGAGAACTGGACACAGTATTCCAGGTGAGGCCTGACCAAAGCAGAATAGAGTGGTATTATTACTTCTCTCAACCAAGACACTATACTTCTATTTATTTAATTCAGTTTAATTCAGCATAAGCTTTTGTAAAGCTTAATTATTCAGATACTTCTGATGAAAGTTTATGCTGAAATAGATTAGCTAGCCTTAACTCTTCCCACCACCACCGCCACTTTCTTCTCTCTTTTTTATACTTTCCACAGAAGTGTCCTCCTTCAACCACAGTTCCTAGTATCCTCTATTATCAAAAGGGTGGGCATACTCTAGAGCCTGATGGGCCATACAGCTTTATTTGCAGCTTCTTCAAAGCTCTGATGGCCTAGGAACATAACCATAAGCACCATTTTAAGGCCCTTTGGTGGAGGACAACATTCCACAGCTCCACAAAGGAGTTGTCAAGCAGTTATATGGATCTGGGTAGGTTGAAATAATGTTTTTTTCACCACCACCCCCACAAAATGTGGGATGGGGGATCATCAGTGAAGGTCCTAAAGATTGCATCCTACCTGTAGGCCACACAATTCTCACTTGTGATTCTCAAGCTATCTGATGTGGGGAGTAGCAATTTCTCCCCTACCCCAAGTGCCAAGGACCAGTATCATATTTGTGCCATAGGCTGCAAATGTTGTTGGGTTTTTTTCTTTCCAGGAAACTTACCAGGGACCAGCAACCAGTGGCTTC